ACAACAACAACCTAACTTATATAACACGAATAACTGTAAATTTTTTTTTTATAATTATTATTATTTCGATTAATCGAATCGTAAAAAAAATCGATCGATCGATCGATCTATCGATTTATACTCGTAAAAAAAAAAAATTTTTAAGAAATAAATTTTTCTCTCTTTCTTTTTCGAAAAGGGTATCGCTCGACATTTAAAAAAAAAAAAATTACATATCGAATCGAATCGAATCGAAATCGATTTAATCGATTTATTGTTTATAAATATATATACGTAGTCGGAGTTTTTCAAATAAAAAATTTTGCCACAAACAATATTTTTTTTAAAAAAATACGAATGTCGTACGATTTAATAAAAGCTTTTTCTTCATATCGTTAATAATGTCGAAATGGGGTCATTAACATTTAAAGGGGGCCTCCTTAAAAAATCACAATACTTTTCGATAACGATTATTATTATTATTATTATTATTATTATAACTGTGACTTTGTGATTTTTTTTTTTTTTTTACGCATAACATATATATATATATATGTAAAATTTTTACCTTAAGGGTAATTGTTTTTAAAATTACAAATAATAATAATAAATAAATTAATATTTAAAAATTTATACGGTATAAATATGGCGCGATGGTACCCACGAGGTACCCAAGTACCCACGAGTTGTATAAAAAGAAGGTTAATACGAAATGCGAAAAAAAAAAAAAAATTTGCTTAAATAAAGGGCCTTCAACCGACCTAGAACTTGCCACCGGTAAATTGAAATTTTTTTTTTACCGCCTTTCTCTTTCATTTCTCATATGTTTAACTTATGAAAAAGAAAATCAATTTATAATAAGTCCCAGTTAATATTGTTTAGGCTACTCGGAACAACCGTAAAATCTGGGTCACGGTTCCCCCTTCACACAAGGAACTCTCTTCTTATATATTGTAATATCATCATAAACTCCTCATTTTTTTTTTTTTTAAATAATTTTTATCGTGTGAAATTAATAATAAATAAATAAATAAATAAATAATAATAATTACCAAATTATTAAATGTGTGGTGATGATGAAGAAAGAAAATGGAAGAATCCAATTGAATTGTAAATAAAAAAAAATATTAACCGATGCCAATAACCTGTGTGTGTGTGTTGAATGAACTTAATCATTTAAAGTTCAAATATTTTTCCAATTACTAAATTTCTTTTTTTTTCTTTTCTTACGTGTGCGTGTGTTTGTTTTATTTTTTTTCCTTTGAGCTAAAAAAAAAAAAAAAGGAAAAATTATTACTTTATTATTAAACTCACAAAAAAAAAAAAATGATTAATTTTCTTTTAAATAATCAAACAACTATATAACTAATCCGTTATTAATTTAATCAAAACGGCTACCATTTGCGTTTAAACACTTTAAATTAATTGTTTATTATCATTATTATTATTATTATTATTATTATTATTATTATTATTATTATTATTCGAATTTATTTTTAAATAACGACAACCCAAAACATTAACATTAACAACAACCAAAAAATTTATTGCAATCAATTAATTTTTTTTGGGTGGTGGTTGTGGTGGGGGTGGGGTGTATTCCTGTAATTCGGAGGTTAGGTATAAAGGATGGTTTAGGGGCGGGGGTATTGGATTGTTCGCTAATGGTAAACCTTTAACTCGTATGCCTTGGGGGAGGGCGAGGTTGTTAGGTTGAGTCCAAATAGGGAAAAAATTAGCCCGAAAAATTATTGAGTTGAGAGTCGTGAGTTCAAATCCTGGGAATGACCTAGAACCTTTCGAGGTATTGAGAATGCACCGAGCCTTGTTCGAGGGGGTAAGACTGAGTACTTGATATGGGATTGGCAATCCCGGACATCTCTCCCTCCTTCCCTTTCCCTTCGGACACTCGTAGACTCTGTGAAGGAGACAGGAAAGAAGGTGGTAGTTCGGGATTGTCTCTCGCAGGGTAAAAAAGGGGAATAAAAAGTTCTTTGAAGGGGATTCCCACCCTTTGACCTCATAGTTCTGGCTCAGGAGGGGGGCTGAGCCTAAAATACAAATTAAAACTCCCGCGAATGCCCCTCCCTCCGGAGGAAACACTCCCAGGAGAATTAATTTGGGTAGTATTGTCTTCAACTAATTCCCACACCCTCCCTTCTACCGGGAGGGGGGGAAGGGGGAGGTTAGCGCAAATGTCGCACTTTTACGTTTAAAAAAAATTATTTATTATTTACCTGAACATAATCCAATTGTTTAATAATAAAATTATTTATTCACATTCGTCGTTTTAAAAATAAATCCACATCACATCCTGATTTATTAATCAATCATCAAAACATTTCTTATCAATGTACCTTCTGATAATACCTGAAGTACCTGAAACAAAAAATTATTAATTAATAAAAAAAAAAAGGTAAAATGGCGGTTTTGAATTATATTGTGGAACTATCACATTGAAAATTCAACCGTAATATATATAGTAATAATAATAGATTAACTGTAAATAAAATTTTTTTATAAACAATTGTTGTTATTATAATTAAAACGTTAACAACAATTTTTTTTTTGTTAAACAAAATTTTAATTATTACGGTTAAAAAAAGAAAAAAAATTACAAAACTCACGCAAAAGGAAAATGACCGTTATAATTAAAAAAATTATTAGATTGGCAAAAAAATAAATTTTTTTTCTTTTACATAATGAACGTTTGTTTGTTTGTTTGCCTGTTTGTTGTTCAATTAAATTAAATTTAAACTACAAACAACTTATAAATAAATAAACAAAATTATTATTGAAAAAATTTATTATTATTATGATTAACAACATATATATTTTTTTATTTTATTTTAAAGAACTTAACAAAATGAAAAAAAATTTTTTGTGTGTGTGTGATTACATTAATTTGATGAGTGACGTCATTAAATTATTAATTAATTTACACAATAATAATAATGATAATGATAATGATAATTTTATCAAGTACATAAAAATTTTTATACTTTTTTCATTTCAATTATTTATTTTTTTTTTCATTCAATCGAATCATGCAAAATAATAATAATAATTTTGTACTTTAACTACCGAACAATCCTGATAAATAAGAAAAAAAATTATTTATGTTTGTTTGTTTGTTTGTTTGTTTGTTTTAAATTATTAAAAAAAAAAAAACACAAAAAAATTAAACAAAAAGTTACAAAAAAAAAAATAATAATTAATTTTACATGTTCGTTTTAATTTTTGTGTTAAAAATAAATTTTTATATACGATACATAATCAATCATTAATAAAATTTATTAATCGATAACCGATACAATAAATAATAATAATAATAATAATAATGAATAAAAAATTATTCGTTTTCATTTTTTTTTTTTTTTTGTACAAACAGGTGTTATATATATATATCTATATAATAATTTTTTAAATTTTTTGTTTGTTTATGTTATAAAATAAATGATTGTTTTAAATTTTGTTGTTGTGGTTGTTGTTGTTGTTGTTAGTACAAAATAAAAACAACAACAAACAAAACAGAAAATTATTATTATTATTATTCGATGTATTTTTTTTTTTAATTAATTAATTTAACTTGTTACAAACATTAAAAATAAATTTTTAAACTAATTATTATTAAATTAAAAAAAATTTAATAAAAACAAATTATAATAATAATAATAATAATAATAATAATAATAATAATAATAATAATAATAATAATAATAATAATAATAATAATAATAAAATAAATAAAATAAAATAAAAAATAAATTTTTACCCTGAAAATAAAAATAAAAATAAAAAAAATTTTACAATTTATTAATAAATATTTTTTTTATTTTATTTTATTTATTTATAACCGTGACTTTAAATTATTTAATAACTCAAATGAAAAAAAAAATTATTAATGTTAATAATAATAATAATACATTACGTTGATTGCACGTGATAATAAGTAAAAAAAAAAAAAAAGCAAAAAATAAAAAAATAAAAATGAAATTAATTAATTAATTGAACCCGCACTGTTTGCATTAAAAAGGCTTTCATGAATTTTACTTTAATTGATTTTTTCTCTCTCTCCCATTATCTCTCACTATCTTTCTCTCTTTCAAAATAATAATAAAAAAATTTTTTACATTTTGAGTATATTAAAATAAAAAAAGAAAAAAATCAAAAAAAAATCAAAAAATTAAAAAAAATAATAATAATAATAAATGAAAAACAAAACAAAACATAAACGAAATAAAAACAAAATATTTTACGTTTAATAATAATGATAATAATAATAATAATGATTTTTAAATTTGTAATAAATTTTTTTTTTTTTTCCATTTTCTTTAAATTTTAATAATAAAAATAAAAAAAAAAATTATTAACGTAAAATATACGATAAACAACAATTTTTTTTTAAATATTTTTTTGTTATTTAATAATAATAAAAAAATTTTCTTTTTTTAATAATAAATGAATTTCATTTTACATAAATAATACTTATTTTATATTATTTAATATTATTTTTAATATTTTCTTATAAATTATTATTATTATTAATTTATCGTTCATATAATTAAATATTTATTTATTTATTTTTTGTTAAATTAATATAATAAATTAAAAAAAAAAAAAAAAGAAAAAAATGTGTGGATAATTTTTATTTTTATACCGAAGTCAAATTACTAAAAAAAATTGAAATTAAATTAATTTTTTTTTAATTATAATTAATTTTTTTTTGTTTAATTGAACAATTTACTGCTGCCCAAATTTAAAAATAAAATTTTCATAAAAAGTTAATAAAAATATTAAAATTAGTCACCATTTAATAAAAATTTTCTGTCAAGTTTTTTTTTTATTTACCAATCATTATATTTTGTAAATATTTTTTGTTTATATATATACAATTGTTTTATTTATTTTTCTTGTAAATAATAAAAAAAAATTACATTAATTTATTTCAATTGTACTCTTTGTGTTACTTTAAATAAAATAAAAAAAAAATTTTTTCTCACAATACTGAATAAATAAAATTATTTGACGATCATGTGAAAATATTTGCTTTTTTTTTTCTTTTTTGTTAAATTGTTGTACCTTTTTCATTTAATATACAGGAAATAATAATAATAATAATAATAAAACATTGATTTCTTTATAGGTAATCTCGACTGTCAAAAAATGTATGAAATGTTTTTTATTAAATTTATTTAATCCGGAGGTAAAAAACTAAACAATCTGAATCTTTCGCGAATGTGCGGTCGAACATCTTCTTTCTGTAAATAAATAAATAAATAAATAAATAATTAGAGAAAAAAACTTAAATAAATAAATGATTTAAAAATAAATAACGCTTGCCATTTTAACTAAATCTTCCAAAAATGGTATCAATTTCATGAGTTCGTTGTCGTTTCTATCGACGAACCAACTTTCGATCGGGATACCATTTTCCAATTGGTAACCAAATGCCTGAGGAGAATTATCAATGATAATAGTTTTTGATAAATCTCTACCGAGTATGGTCAAATCTTTTATGTAATTTCCATTGACGCAAACGCAATGCTCTCGAAATAATCGATACCTGAAAGATGCAAAAAGTTTTTAAGAAAATGGGGTTCGGCGAAAGGAAAAGAAAAGAAAAAATAGTAAAAAAAAAAAAAACTAACTTTATCCATCTTTTTTTCGGATCTAATAAATTCATGAGTTTATCCGCGTAAACTCTTTTGCTCGCCGTAAATAAAATAACTTCGAACAATGACGAAACCCTTTCTAGAAATTCTCTAAAATACGGTCTCGTCCTCACGAAAACCGTATACGCACAATCTTGAAACAAAACTGGAAATGTAAAAGATGCATCTTGCAATTCTTGAAGACTACAGTGAACCAGAGTCTCATCCTGGAAAAAATTTTTTATTTTTAAGGATTTTTCTTTTGTAAAAACTTATTAATAAAAAAAAAATTTCTTACTCACCAAATCTAAAACTAGAGAAAAATCCGGACTGCTCCTTGTTTTCAACGGTAATGCTGGACATCGAGCTCTCATTTCATTCGTCAAGGGGGGTAAATGTTTTATGAAAAGATATGGATCCCATTCGTCTTCTTCCATTGGAACGCACTGTTGCTCTTCGACAGATGTTATTATCCCCGTATCGCATCTATTGAAAAAAAACAACCCCCAACAATCAGGAAAACAGGAAATTTCCACTGTGATAAGTACAAACTCAAATCTCAACTTGGATTACCTTGACAAGTAGTTCAAATCAACGGAACCATCATCGTGCATTGAACAATTGATATTTTCCAAAACGCCATTATTAACATTGTTGTCTTCCTCTCCGTCGTTTTTATTTTTCGAACCGTCGAAATTTTCGCTCGTCGAACAATCCATCAAATAATGTTTTTCAAGTTCTCTTGCCAGAGTGTAATTTTTACCACTTTCTCGTGCCAATTCGTAAATCCTTTCGATGTCTTCCGCGCTACCAAAATTTTGTTCGTTTAATCCGCTTTCTTTATGAATGTAAACGTTTTTGCATATATCCAATGAAGTCATGTTGATCGCCATTTGACTTTCAATCGAATTAGATGTGACTGAAAAGAGAGCAAAGGGAAGAAAAAAAAAAAAACCAATAAAATAATGAAAACATCACAAATAAAAACTTGAAACGAGTGAAAATCAAAAGCGGGAAATGAATGTAATAAAACGTTTTCTTACTCTGTGGAAACGGTTCTTCTTGAGATATATTTTTCAAACTATCAGAATATGTTGCCAACATTTGAATTTCCGTCGTTGGATCTTTCATTATTGGATATTTTGCGTCAATGGTAACTGATGAATTTTTATCTGAATGTTCTCCGACCACGCAAAGAGCATCTTCAAAATTATAAATGTTCGGTGGAAAAACTTCGTAGAAAGAAACTTCCGAGGGTCCATCTGTCAAAATTAAATTAATATCAAATTGAAAAAAAAAAAAAAAAACTTTTTTTTGGAAAAAGAAAAAAAGTATTGCTATTGATTTTTACCAGTTAATGTCGATGGTGATACTATCTTGCATGAATTTTCCAATAAACTCAATTGATTTTCTTCTACTTTGTCAAATTTATCTTCTTTACCTTCCGAAGAATATAAATCAGTAAAATTTTCTTTTTCTTCAAATGTGTTTTTGTCATTTGAAACGACATTTTCATTTATCCCATTTATTGTTTTATCGATAAACTTGTCTCCTCCATTACCAGCAAGAATATTTTCCAATGAATTTTTCGCCTCGGATATGGCGTTATTTAATTGTGATAATTTATCATTTGATTTTTCATTCGTCGAATTTACTTGCAGTAATGGATTCACATATTGCGACAAAACAATCAAGTTACTTTTTTCATTTTCATTAATTAAATCTAACCTTTCCATTGCATTTGTACAGTTGTCAATGTTTTTGTTCAAACACTTTTTATCACAACATTTTATATTGCACTTTTGTTTAGTATTGGGAAGCCTGAATGATGATGATGATTTTCGTTGTAATTTCGACACTCCAATGTTTTTACTTATTTTAGACGTTTCCTCACCGAAACCTGTTCTTTTTTGAATTGATTTTATTAGACCACCTCTGGGATTGTGTTTTTTATATCCGGTTTTTTCCGGCAAAACTTCTTCGCCGCTATTTTTTTTGTTGCAACGTTTTTTTTTATTATTGTTTGAATTTTTATTGTAATTTTTTTTGTTAAATATACCCCCGCCGCCATTGTCGTAAAACGAATCCTTTTTCAACGACTCGTTTTTCCTCGGCCACCTCGTTTTGTGAATTATTCTCGTGAGTTGACCGTTGTTTTCGACTGCGTTTAATTTTTTCGAACGAACAATACTTTGTTTAAGTGCAATCCCACCGATTCTCCTACTCGCTCTGCTACTTTTTATTTTTTCCAATAATCTCGATGATTTCGAACACGAGTCCACTTCACCACTATTAATGGCTTTTCTAAAATCTATTCTCTTTTTGCTAAATTTTCTATTTCTGAACGAAGATGATGGTGAGTTTGATGTAGAATATTGATTACTTGATTCAGAATGATTATTTGTACTGAATTGAGCCTGAGAACTTGTTTCCGGTTTTTGGGATTCTGAATATTTTTGACCTTTGCGCTTTTTACGATTTGATGATTTTCCTTTTCTCCTTTTAACACTTTCCGAATTCGATTTCGAATGTGACTGCTTACTCGTCGCTTCTGTTATCTGATTCAATACTTTAGCAGTAAGTCGCAAATGACTTTGATCAGTCACTTCACTTCTTAACCACATAATTAATATTTTCAACAGATAATCATTATGAATTTAATGTTTGATTGTAATTTATGTTTTTTCTTCAAACTCACATGTTTTTCATTAATGTAAACTGAAACAAAATAAAATAAATAAATGTTATTTTTTGTAAATCAAAACTACTGTTTTATTATTAAAATAAATTTATCAAAACTGATGTACCCGAAATAATAAACCATGAATCATTTTATATATAAAATCATTGTAAATAAATAAATCGAAAATTTGAATTAATTTTACAAAAATTATCATATTACATATTATGTAAACAATTATCTCCTTTTTTTTTTTTTTTTTTTTTTTAACAAAGCAATACAAAAAATGAAGAAATATCATCATTATTATTATTATTATTATTAGTTTATAAGGGATATATGAAATAATTGATTTTTAAATATCATTCATATCACAAAATAAAATATTTATATCAACACGTATGTATTATTATTATATATGAAACAATTTCAAATACTATTTTCATCATTTACTTCATTTTAAATTTCTAAAACAAAAAAAAATTATCATTATTATTATAAATAAAATATATTTAATGAATATTTAATGCGTAGAACATAATCGTTTATATAACGTTTTTAATCGGAATCAACATAAAATCTAATTTACATAGCAAATAAATTTATTTGTATGTGAAAAAAAAAAAAAAAAAAATACGGCGAAATTAACCGACAAAACCCGAAGATTTACAAAAAAAAAAAAAAAAAAAAAAAAAACGAATAAAATTAATCAATACAAAATGGCAATCATTTCATATTATTAATATTCTTCATATAAACTACGTGAATAATAATAATAATAATGATTATTAATAAATACACGTTTAAATGTGTAAAATTTTAAATAAATAAAACCGATAAAATTAAAATTGTAATAAAAATTATTATTAATATTATTCATTATGTTAAACGTTAACTAACAAGAGACGCTTTTTTTTTTTTTTTTTTGTTAATGTAATTCGAGCGAAAAAAAAAAAAAAATTGTATTTATGTAAAATATAATTTAACAAACCTTTTAAATTTAAAACATTTAAAATTTCAAAATCGTATAATATTACGTTCGGTAATAAACTATTTCATTTTAATTTTAAAAAATCCCGTTTAAAAAAAAAAAAAAATTAAAAAAAAATATTAATAACATAATCGAAAAGAAATAATTTACTGACCATACACTTCTAACATTAACAAATATCCGTCCATGGACGTACAAACAAAATGGCGGCACCGACTAGCCTTCGAGTGTTGCCAACTTTAAAAATTTAAAAATATGATGCAATCAAATTTTATTTAAAACGCAATTTACAAAAAAAAAAAATTAATTAAAACAAATTAGTTTTGCATTTTTATTAACTTTTCTTTCTTTTTTTTATTTAATTTGAAAACTTTCGGTAAAATATATAATATTTTAATTTATTATTTATATAAAAAACGTTAATTTATGTCAATTACACGACGAGTAAAAATTTTATCATTGTCGTTTTTTCTTTAACATTTTCAAATTAGTTAATAATATTTAATAAAGTTATTTAAATAATAATAATAATAATAAAAATACATAAGCTACAAAAAAAAAAATCATTATGTCATCACAATTATTATTATTATAATTTGGGCTGTAAAAGAAGCTAACCAATACTCTTTGCAAAAAAATTGATTAATTATGTATCATATTGAAACTTATATGAAATTAAATATATTTTAATAAATTTATTAATAATAATAATAATCGAATAAATAAATTAAATAATTCGATTAATAATGTTAATAAACCTGTTCATTATTACAAATAAAACAATACAATAGATTCATGAAGTAATTTTAAACAATAAATATATTTTCATAATAATAATAATAATAATAATACATTTGAACAGGAAGAAATATAATTAATTTCACGGTCGATGACTTAATTAATTAGTAAATGAATAATAATTGTAATTGATCAAAAAAAAAGAAAAACAAAACAAGAAAAAAAAAAAAAAAATGTAATAATTGATATTATTCGAATAAAATCTTTATTCGATAAATGCAATTTACAATCTCTTTGATAAAAAAAACTATTTATTATTATTATTATTATTATTATTAAAACCGATTTAAATCTCATATTTGAATTAAAATCAATGAAAATAAAACATATTAAATTATTAAAATTAATAAAATTTAGTTGTAGAAAAAAAAAGAAAAAAATTAAATAAATGTAATTAAAAATATTATCCTAAATCGAATGGAAATTTTTTTTCTGTGTTTTTTGCTCATTCATCAAAACACCCAGAAATAAACAATTTTTTTTTTTTTTAAATTGATTTTAAAAGTGATAAAAAAAGTCTTCTGCTAACTTTTTTATAAAAAAAATTTAAACAAATTCAAATTGAGTTTAAAATTAAAAAAAAAAAATTAAAAATTCAATTAAAACAAAACAAACCAGTTTTTTTGTTTTTTCTTTTTTACAATTAAAATTATTTATTTAATTCAAAAGTTTTAATAATTAATAATAATAATACTAATAATAATGATAATAGTAGTAGTAGTAGTATTATATATATATATATATACACAAATAATTAATAGATAATATAAATTGAATAATTATTTTAATCAAACATTATAAAAAAAAAAACTTATGTATAATTTTTCTTTCTTATCATTCATATCAATAAACCTAAAATTAATTTTTTTTTTTTTAATAATAATAATAATAATAATAATAATAATAATAATAATAATAATAATAATAATAATAACTCATAAAGTTATTTTCTTATTTTTTAATTATTAATACTTATTAATTTTTTTAACTTAAAAAAAAAAAATTTTTTTTTTTTTTTGGGTATTATTATTATTATTTATTTGGCATTTTCTATGCATTTACTTAACTTATGAAAATAAAACAATAATAATAATAATGATAATAATAATATACAACACGTAAATATTTATATATGTATATGTATAATTTAAATTAAAATTTGTTAAAACTCATAACTAAAGCTAATACAAAATTATTTAAAAATTTTTTTTTAAACAAATAATAATAATAATAATAATAATAATAATAATTGTTTTTTTTTTGTTTAAATAAATGCAGTAGAACAGAAGAAAAAAATTAAAAAAAAAAAGAAACAAATAAAATATATTTTAATTAAATATAATTAATTAATTATTTATTTATTTATTAATTGAAACGACAGCTGCCCAACCTTAATAATAATAATAATAATCGTTAAAAAAGAAATCGGAATAATGATAATAATAATATAATAAAAATCGATTAATAATAATAATCAAAAATTATAAACAATTTATACAAATTTTTTTTTTTTTTTTACATTTAAAACTAATAATAATAATAATAATTGAATGTATGAATGAATGGGGTACAGGTACAGCGAAAATTTTTATTAATTATTATTATCATTATTAATAATTATTTTATTTTAAATGGAAATGAATAATATTATTTAAAAAAAACTTTTTCCTTACAACTATAAATACTCATTATTATTATTATTAATATAAAACGACACAAATGTATTTATATATATATATATATATGTATATTGATTTTGGAAGAATAATAGTACTTATAAAAAATTATTTACACGCACGCGCACACACACACAGACACGCATAAAATATTGCAAATATATAAATTTTAAATGAACGTTTTAAAAGTATATAAAAAACCGGGTTAAAACTAATTATTATTATTATTATTATTGCCTAATTTGTATACGTGGAAATTGCCATACCTGATAGAGTTTAAAAGTAAATCTTATCATTATCATTATTATTATTAAGATACATAAGTTTATAAAAAATTCCTAAACATTATAGTAGTAGTAATAATAATAATAATTTTTTTTTTTCAATCAAATTTTTAGGAATGTATACGTTTCCCATTCTACGGCACTTATTATTATTATTATTATATCATTACTATCAATAATAACAAACGCAGAAAAATTTGTGCGGGATAACATATGAAATTTATTATATTATTAAAAAAAATGCAGTCGTCGAATGTAACAAACAAAAAAATTATCATTATCATTATCATCATTATTATTATTATTATTATTATGATCGTTTCCAAAACCTTTTTTATTTTCAACCCTTAATAAATCATGTTAAATATTCCACAAACGTGGAAGGCCATTTTTAATCATTTTACCGTTTTGAAAAATTATTGATTGTCGTCAACACGTGGCCAATTCCAACAGATAATTAATAATAATAATAATCATAATATAATAATCATAATAATAATAATCATAATAATAATAATAATAAATTAAATTTAAAAACGTACAAAATGCATATTTTTTTAAATAAAAAAAAAAAAAAATTCAGTCGTTATTATTTTTAAAAAAAACAAATTTTCCCCACAAACGTCACGTTATGACGTCATCACAACATTATTTTCTTATCAAATACATATAAAAAAATTATCATTCAATTGAATTTCAATCTATCCATCTATTAATTACGTACGTATTTTATTCTAAATAATAATAATAATAATAATAATAAAACAAATGGAAAAAAAAATTAAAAAGGAAGACTCGTTTGTTTCTTTGTTTGTTTGTTTGTTTTAGGCCTAACTAAGCGACGAGGAACGAGGTTAAGGAATGTAGGAAAATTTGTATATAAAAAAAATAAGGAAGACTCGGGTTTTTTCGGTCTGGATGACTCGTTGAGAATTTTATCATTATTATTATTATTATTATTATTATAAAGGCACTAAGCATGGCTTCTAATGTTTTGTTTAACGATGGGACGGATTTAACGATGGATTAAAAAAAAATTTAAATCGAAAGGTTGTAATTTTTTAAATCACTGGGAAAATCCTTCTACGACTCCCCTCCTCTCCCTACGCATTCCCTGATCCTTTCTTTTTCTTTTCTCTTTTTTCTTTTCCGTAAACCTGGATGAATAAGCAATTCGGGATGATATTCCCGTTTCAATATTTTGCCACACTTGCCTTTAAAATTTCCTTTTTTAATTAGTCTCACATATAAAAAATTCGTAAAAATTACAAAATAATAATAATAATAATAATATAAAAAAAATCCTTTACGTTTAAAATAACAATATTAATAATAATAATAATAATCGTAATAATATCAACAACAATAACAACAATAATAATAATAATAACAACAACAAAGAAGACAAAATTTTTTTTTTTTTTTTTTGGGTGATAAAATCGAACGATCGCGCTGAATTAAATATTAAATGCATTGGAAGAATCTTGTGTTATTATTACGATTCCCTTAAAAATTAATAAAAAACAATCAATCAATCAATCAGTCAGTCAATCAATCAGTCAGTCAGTCACAATCGTTATTAACAAATGGAATATTTAAAAAAAATGTATGTATATTATTTACAATGACCGCGCACGCACGCACACACACACACACACACACACACACATACATACACTTCAATATCTTAAAAAAATATTAATTCCCTCCTCCTCCTCCTCCACCTCTTCTTTTTCTCCTCCTCCTCCTTCTCCCCTCCTTTTTCTCCTCCTCCTCCTTCTCCCCTCCTTTTTCTCCTCCTCAAGCCCCACCCCCACAACTTGACAATCATTTAACAAAACACATTATTATATGAAATTTCAATTACGTCGTTAAAATTACCTTAATAATAATACATAATAATAATAATAATAATAATAGATAATAATAATAATAATAATAATATTGATTATGACAATTATTAGTAAATATTTAACATTAGCATTTAGTATTGGAAAAATTTAAATTAATTTAAAGCTTTTTTTTTTTTTTTATCTCTCTAAATCGCAATTTTGTAAAAAATTACAAAAAAAACTTTTTTTTTTTTTTTTTTAAATTAATACATCTTTTTTGTTATTATTATTATTATCATCGTAAACATCATCATCGTTGTCGTCGTCGTAAGTATTTTCGTCAGCAACGCATCAGAACAACTCGTCCGCCATCGTTGATCAAACGTCGTCATTATTCTCATATACGATATTTTTATATTTAAAATTTAAAAGAGGGGAAAAAATAAAGAACAAACTGAGGTGATGCAGATGACGATGACGATGGTGACGACGACGGTGGTGGTGACGATGGTGGTGACGACGGTGATGACGACGGTGGTGACGAGTTGTTACCATTTTCCAAATTCAAATAAAAAAACGTAAATTTTAATCCTTGTTTTTAAATGGCCAACGTGACGTAATTAGCAGGAATCATTCCGCTTTGTCCGGTTCTTTTGACGACACCGATAAGCCAACCGTCATCTATGGGCGTGCAATTGACGATGAGGTCACCGTTCATGAAAGAAACTTCATCGGAATCTTGAGCTTTGTAATCGTACATGGCTCGGAAAACTCTCTGAAATTTAAAATTATCTACATAAGTTAAAAACAATAAAAATTTTTAGCTTTTCCATCACTTGTCGTCGTCGTCATCGAACAAGCTTATCACGTGATTGACAAACTGTTTTCCTATCCGGCTGTGCTTTTTCCTTCGAATAATAATAATAATAATAATCGGGAGTTTTCCCTTCTATTAAGCCTATCTATTACTAAAACATTCGACCTCGAGAATAAAAACGGATTACGTAATAAATCCGTGGGCACCACAAATTAGTAAAAAAAAAAATTCGGGTCAATTTTTACAAATTTACTTAAACGGGATAAAATGGTTTCACATTACCCCGGAATTTCGAACTTGTTGACGAACGGAAACATCCTGCTGAGGTTCTGGTAAACTATTTTGAGTGTAATCATTTGTGTAACTCATATTCTGTCCGGATGATCTTTGGTGTCCGTTCATTACGTTTCTATTGTATTGCTGTTGGGTTTGATTATTGGAATACGCGTACTCGGGTGTTTGATATTTTGGTTGCTGCGGTTGTTGTTGTTGCAAAGGTTGCTGATGATGTTGATATTGCGGCTGTTGTTGTTGTTGCTGTTGCAAAGGTTGTTGATGATACTGTTGTTGTTGTTGTTGTTGTGGTGGTGGCTGTGGCTGTGACTGTTGCTGTCCGTTATTTTGCGACATCATGTAATTCCTTCCGTAATAATCCGTTCCGGAACTTTTTGCACTGTCTCCTAACGAACCGTAAAATTCATTGACAGGATCCAAATCGTGTATCGAACCGATTCTCCTATCGGGTAAACTTGACACTGTAATCATAAAAACAAATTTAGTTTCTTTTCATCCACCATCTTCTTCTTCTCATTATTATTATTATTATTTTTTTTTTGATAAAAAATATAAAATACCCGGTCCTCTGTCGGACGTGTAAATAACCGTCGAACTTTGCCTCATCGGATACGAAGAATTCGTTTGAGATTCGTGATAAACCGGTTTATGCTGTATTCCATAACTTCTATCCATTTGTTGTTGTTGTTGTTGTTGTTGTTGTTGCGAGTTGTTATTACCGATTCCACCTTAAATCAAACGAATTCTTTCAAAAACAGATCAAGGAAAAATTTCACCAAAACGAAATAAGAAAAAATTAAAAACTACAAACGAACAATTAATCATGTACTTAAAGATTTCTCTTTTTTTTTTTCTTTTCAAACAACCAAATTTCATCTTTTATTATTCAATTCATTCTTAATGCCAATGGAGGACATATTTTTTGGGGGGGCAGGGAGGGGAGGGGGAGGGAATTAATTTTTTAACGTAGTTACAAAACGAATGCGAATTGATGCATTTTAAATTGATTTTAATTACGGGGGGAGGGAATTCGTATATTTATTTAAAATAAAAAAAAGAGAGAGAGAGAGAGAGAGAGAGGAGAGAATTAAATAGAACGAACGAATCGATATCTCAACGTGAGTAACGTTACGTTTCTTAAAATAAAATTATAAATATTGTGCGTGTGATATTGATCCACGACGTTCCCGAAAATTCCCGCGCCGCTTCCCTTCTTCCCACCATTCCACCCCACCCCGCTCCCTCGCCCGCCCCTTCCCGACAGGATTCTTTCGAAAATTTTTTTAAGCAGTCGAAATATCAAAAAAAAAAAAAAAAAAATCCACCCTACTATCCGAAGGGGGATTTTTTTTCTTCTTCTTCCTTCCCTCCTTCCTTCCTTTCTCTCTTTTGTCCTCCTCCTCCTCTTTCTCCTCATTCTCCTCCCCCTTCTCCTCTTCCCCCTCTGAACCCTCGGTTCACGGTGAAAACGAATAAATAAATAAATCATTAATTTAATTACTTTCGTTATGTCCATTTTCTCCTCCCATGTTTCTAAGCTTTTCCATGACGGCTTTCTTTTCGAGTTCTCCGTGGTACGCAACGTTGCTTATGTTTTTAGAATTGGCTTTTATCCGTAGGGTTTCCGGATCGTCTGCGACCTGCGTGAATTTCCCTTTCGTTTTTTCAAAATCTTCGTGGTATTTCACGTTCGATTGTATTTTTGTATTTTCCGCTATTCGTCTGAATTCGGGAGTTTCCGCAACCGTCGTAGCTTTCGCTTTCGGTATGTGCCTTGAAAATAAAAAATAAAAATAAAAAATTATGAACGAATAATAATAATAATAATAATCATCATCATTCTCGTCGTTCACATATGCGATGTACGTTTTTGCGAGTATACGATTGTGTGTGTGTGTGTGCGTGTGTGGTCAATGAACTTGCGACGAAAAAAATAAAAAAATACTTTAATTAAAATAATAATAATAATAATAATAATAAAAATAATAATAATAATAATAATAATAATAATAAAAAGAAGTTTAAAAAAAAAAAAAAAAAAATTGCGCCTCGAATTTATTATTATCATTATTATTATTATTTTCACTCGTAAACGATTGTATAATTCCATCATTATTAGCTTATGGCGATCAAACAAAAAAAAAAAAAAAAAAAAAAAAAAAAAACCGGCCGTGAAAAAGTTGGCTTTCCAAAACAATGTTTAACAATTGTATATGCGAGTCTTGAACCATTTTTATTCTCTCTCTCTCTCTCTCCATCTCTCTCTCTCTCTTTCTCTCTCTTACGGGATTTTCAATCTGGAATGATTTCTTTTTAAATTCAAATTGCGTCCCCTTTTTTTCTTCATCAATTAAATTCAAATAATAATTTTTTGGTCTTCGATCGAAAAAAAAAAAATAATAAAAATTTAATTCACAACGATTTGAAAACTTTTTAAACAATTGTTGGCGTTTGTTGTTGTTGTTGTTGTTGTTGTTCATTTATTGTTGTCTTATCATTTCCCACCCATTTAAAAATACTCTCGCATCAGGTATTTTTACCGTTATAAAATTTTTTTTTTTTTTTTAAATTGACATCGTCGTCACCAACAGGATCAACAGCGTCAGGCAACGTGTATATATCACAGAGTCAATAAAGATGGCGGTGGTGGTGGTAGTGGTGGGGAGAAAAAGAAAAAGAAAAAAAAATTTTTTTGCGAATTTCCGAGTGCTCGGGTTAAAAAAAAAAAAAAAAAAAAAAAAAAAAAAGTAACAGTAGTTTTTTGTTCTTCTCCTCATTCCCAATTTTCGTATCGATCGATTAAATTTCAACTTAAAAAAAAAAAAATCTCGAACTCGCTTCGATAACTTTATCATTATTATTATTATTATTTTACTTTCTTCTATTCTTTATTAGAATGAAAAGTTTCCATCGAATCTATAGAATCTATAGAATCCGTTACGATTATTTCGTTCATAATTCCTTGATTGGATTCAACATTATTTCAAATAATCATTTGACGCCATTTTGGGGAAAAAAAAAAATAACAAAAAAAATTTCGTTTTATGAACGTTAGCAAAAGAATTGATATAAACTTCTCCAGCGGTCATTTATCACCGCAACGAAAAAAAAAAAAAAAACACGCACACGCATGTACGCACACACGCACTCCTTTTCGGACACATCATTAAATTTTTTTAAGTTTAAATAACGAAGGGAGAAATTCTTTCGTTTGTTAGAAAGTATAGGAAATATTTGCAACGTTTCGATCATTTCGATTTTTTTTTTCTTGTCTTTCGATTTATTTCGATTCCTATTCGAGATCGAAACGTTTCGATATTTATTCAACAACAACAACAACAAAAAAATTTTTCTGTTTTTAATTCTTTTCCTTTGGCGGCTAGATTTTTGATAAACCGACCGTCAGGATTTCAATCGAACGAAATCAAACAATTTTCAATCAGAAGAGGCGGACGTCAAGTTATTTTTTTTTTTAAACCGGGGAGAGAGAGAGAGAGAGAGAGAAAAGAGAGAGAGAAAATAAAACGTGAAAGAAGACTAAAAAAAAATTTTTTAATTTTTCGTTTAATTCAATGAGTCTGTCGAGAGAAAAATAAATAAATAAACACGAATGAAATTAAACGAACGCTTGTTCGTAAACCAATCATTTGAAATTTTGCTACGAAGTGATTAATGGCAGCAAAAATAAAATAAAAAATTATAAATAGAAAGTAAACTCGATTCACAACTACTACTACCACGACCAAGACTCTACTCAACCGATACTTGTTTGTTGTTGTTGTTTTTTTCCTATCATAGCCATCCCCCCCCCCGTTGATAACTTTTATTTATTTTTTGCTAAAATTTACCGAAAATGTGAGAACAAATTATTATTATTATTATTCTATCTATCGACCTCTCTCGACATCAAACGTCGTTGCGTATATTATTAACGTGTAAGAGTTTTGCGACAAGTTTAACAAAAAAAAAATTCAATAAAATTTTTTAACAAACTTTGCGTTTAGCAACGTGAAATAATAATAATGATAAAATACAAACGAGTTGTTTAAACGTTTAAAAAAAAGAAAAAAACCAACCGTCGAGGATTATTTTTTTTTTTTTTTTGTATCTTCTCCATGTTTTCGTTAGTAATGAAACTTTTTTTTTTTTAAATTTGTTTTTAAAAGAAATGTTTTCCTTTCCTTTCCTTACAAATTCATTAAATGTTGCTTGCATATATTAAAAATATTTGTATGCAATGAAAA